TTTAAGTGGTCGAGTCACGACTACTGTCTGGTCCTCGACCAGCGATGTAGCGTTTCTCCCACTATTTCCACGTCAAGTGGTCGAGTTACGACTACTGCCTGGTTCTCGACCAGCGATGTAGCGTTTCTCCCACTATTTCCACTTCAAGTGGTCGAGTTACGACTACTGCCTGGTCCTCGACCAGCGATGTAGCGTTTCTCCCACTACTTCCACTTCAAGTGGTCAAGTTACGACTACTGCCTGGTCCTCGACCAGCGATGTAGCGATTCTCTCATTACCCCTGCTTCAACAAAGTTGATATCAGGTGCACAAGATCGCCAAGTGTTTTACCCAGAGATCCCTTACCCAGATGACTCCTAGCGTTGAAACCTATCCTACTGTCCCTTTACGCCGTCTTGACAAGGCCTCCGAGGAACCCGAGAGAACTTCGGCTGGGGACGCCCAGAGCCGATAAGGCCTTGTCGGATCCTTCAGAGATGAAAGACCATGTAAGATCTGGTCATGTAAGAGTTCTCGCCGTGCGTATTAACCAAGCCGTATAATCGGAAATGGATTTTCCAACTTCACGGCTGGGGGCTAGGATCAGTGCTTGTTCAATCGAGGCAGGTCAAAGGTCCAAGAGCCTTATCTTCTGAGAACGATTCTCCGACGACAAGGCTGGGAGCTAGGGAGAGTGTATGACTCTACAAACTGACTGATCGGAGTCGGTAAGAGAGAGGACGCTCATATACAAAGCAATGGTCTGTACATTCAATTCACTAGTCTGTCATATTATAACATGTCACCCTTTGAGCATTCGCTCGGGGGCTATTTCTATCTAATATTTTTTATGAGTATTGATTTCAGGAAAATTCTATTTGACATTATCGAAGACTCCATGTCTCTATGGTTCTGCACCAAGATTGACTAAGGCGAGTACGACAAATGTCGACAAGGCTCCGTTGCAGACTCTACGCTTTCTCGATCACTCGAGAACGGTTGCTGGATCTTGACAAGGAATACGGAATGAAGAGATGGTGTACCCGCCGAGATAAAATTTCTTGACTTCAATCCAAATTCTCAATTACAGCAAGACAGGAGACTTAGTCGACGCTCTGTACTTTCTCGGTTGACATCAGAGATTGACTTAGACAAACCCTTTCGGTGCCCACACGAGGCTGATAAAGGAAGTCTAACGTTATCTCTAAACTCACCGAGAACGGTCACGTGAGCTCGATAACAGTTCCTCCAAAGTCTGCGGTTGAGAATATGAACTCGTTCATTTGCATCGAAGTCGGGGGCTACTGTCAGGGTTATGGATACCACATACCTAATAGTAGTTGACTAAATCTCGGCAGGATCCACCACATACCATGTTTTATATGGAAACTGACCTCGAGGGAGTTCCGGATAAGGAAAGACAACCAGAGTTCTACATGGAAACGACAAGGACTACTCGGATTGCATCCATATTGGTTTCCCTAGTTCTACTTGGACAAGGGGACACCTATGGGTATAAATACAGGGCCCCCTGGGAGGAGAGGGGACAACAATCATGGGACAAGACAATCAACACCTAACGGGATCAACACCCAACACAATCAACATAGAAGCCTATATACACCAAGACACGCCGCCGGATATCGACTTCAGGGATAAGCAAGGCTAATACCCTACGGTGCCTCCGGATACTGTCAGGAGAAACGAAAGCGCTATCTCTGATCTCGCCGGACACGGATTCGAGGAGGAAGGCTACCCTGTTGTCGACTACGAGTCAAATCGTCAGACCGCCATGTCGACAACAGTTAGATTGGCTACCCCAAATATTGTACTCGTGTGATTATGGTGAATAAGAGCAATACCGGCCTCGGCCAACAGGATGTAGAGTTATTACCTGACAATTCAGGGGCCCGAACTTGTATAAAAATCACTGTCTCCATCTCTTTTACCTCAGTCTTGCGTATATCCTAACACCGACGATCCCCATACCATGCAAATACCAAAATTGCGACATCAAACGTCGATAGCTATAAGTCAGCTGCAAACATATTTTAAGATAAATGAGGAGAGAGAAAAGCAGCGGGCTACAGATTTGTATCCAGCTGTAGCACAGACTCTAAGACACAGCGTGTGTATGACAGGTGGGACCATGTATTAATAGTGTAGTATATAACTATTGTATAAATAAGCTATTAGATTAGCTATAGATAAATTGGAGCTAGTAGTTGACTATATTATTAAACTTGCTCTTATGGCAGCTGTATTACCTTCGTCTGACTTCCGGCTCACGGATCTGTCCATATCTGGAGCCGCCTCTGCTGTAAAGATACTCAGATAACTCGCCGAATCCACGAGCAGAAGCGCCGGCGGAACGAGCTGAACAACATATTGCCGCCTCACCAGTCACTAGCTCCTATTGTGAACGCCATGCCCTTTCTTCCGCTCGAGCTGAAGTCCCAATCCGAGGAGAAAAAAAAAACAAATTAATTTTTAGAGATGCAGGCAAAGATGGAACCCGGGCAATCACCTCAATGAATGCGCTGAAAAATCCTTCATCCAACGCTTAAAAACAGGGCCAGTATGGGTGGAGGAGCTACATGTGTTCACAAAGAAACTATTGCCAACGTTCTAAAATACTTATCACTTTGAGTTTTTATTAGTAACTAGCTGGGTGGCCCGCGCAATTGCACGGCTAGCATCTATATAAAATTATATATTTTTTAAGTATGATTTTACTTAAAATTTATTAAATAGTTATCTCGTTGTTTTAAGATTTTGAAAAACCAAACCTTATCATCGTCGTGTTTCTAATTTTGTAGTTTTTAAAAGACACATCAGTTGCTACCCCTTACTTATGTCATATTATTTTTTATTAGCTTGCTCGATCTACCGCTGTTTCTATTTATTCTCCTTGGAACTTTTAAAAATTGGATCTAAAAACTATTAGAGTTCATTGTCCTGTTGGGCTTATTTTTAATAATTTCTAGAAGTCTCGTCAAACGCTGCTATTATATTCCTCTACAACTGTCCACTGCATCTTCTCTTTATTATCATTGCTATTTTAAAAATTGAACATAAGTATCATTTAGGTTCTTTTTTTACTTTCTAGAAGTTCCGCCAAAATATCAACTCCTTTGTCACTGTACTCCTCTACGGCTCGCCCGCTGTCGCCCTTCTTTATTGTCATTGAGATTTTAAAATCAAACATGATTATCATTGGGGATTTTTTTTACTTTTTAGAAGCCCGTACATTTGAAAATTGAACCTTATAGTTTTTAGAGTTTTGTTGTCTCGTTGGGTTTTATGTTTTTTATAATTTTTAGAAATCCTATCAAACACTACCATATACTCCTCTACGACCCGTCCGCCGCATAATCTTTATTGTCATTGGGATTGTAAAAATCGAACATAACTATCGTTGGAATTCATTTTTTACTTTCTATAAGACCGACCAACCATCAACGGCTCTACCATTGCACTCTTATACGACCCGTCCGTTGCCTCTTATTTTTATTGTAATTGAGATTTTAAAAATCAAATATAATTATCATAGAAGTTTATTTTTTTACTTTCTAGAAGTCCCCGCCAACCGCCTTGACTGATTACTTCACGACCTGCCCGTCATATTTCCTTTTAATCATCAATAGGATTCTATTTGGTGTTTTATTAGTAGTTTTTAGATGTCTCATCAACCGCCACCACTCTGCTCCTCTATAAGCATATTACTTAATTAATCTCATCATGTGTTTTAGATGGTCTTTTCTTTTAATAGTCTTATTTTTTTATCACCAATTTCAGTTATTTATAAATTGTATTCCTAGTTGAAATCTTTTTTTTCCTAATTTCAGAATTTATTTTATTTATTATTATGTTATTTTGATTTTTGATTTTTTATTTTCAATTCAGTTGTTTCAAAATTATATTCCTATTTTTTATTCCGAATATTATTTAATCTACTATTGGGTTCTTATATGTACTTTTATTTCAATATTGCTTAAATTTAATTCCTAATTTAAGTTAATTTTAAATTGTATTCCTACGTGAACTCTTATTTTCTTTTATTTTTTCTAATTTTGATTTTTTATTTTTTTATTATGAATTTTAATTAATCTTGTATTGGATTCTTATATGGACTCTTCTTTCAATATTTTTTATTTTTAATTCCGAATTTTAATTATTTATAAATTTTATTCGTACTCCAACTCTTCTTTTTTCTTTTTCTAATTTTGAAATTTATTTTATTATTATTTCGAATTTTAATTAATTTCTATATGGACTCCTCTTTCCATATTACATATTTTTAATTCCGAATTTCAGCTATTTTTAGATTGTATTTCTACTTGAAGTCTTCTTTTCTTTTTCTCCGATTAATGTGGGAATTTTTAGCCCCTAAACGAACGTGGTGCCTCCTTTTAAAGCTGTTTTAATAATATAATAGATGTTTCATCATTAGTTTTATTCAGAAAACTATAAAATTATTATTTATTTTCTTTGTGGCTTATTATTATTAAAATTACTTTAAGTATAATTTGTTTTATATACTCCCTCCGTTTTTAATAGATGACACCATTGATTTTTTCTCACATGTTTGACCATTCGTCTTATTCAAAAATTCTATACAAATGTGTAAGATATAAATCACACTTAAAGTACTATGAGTGATAAAACAACTCATAATAAAATAAATTATAATTACGTAAATTTTTTAAATAAGACGAATGGTCAAACGCGTGAGAAAAAGTCAACTGCGACATATATTAAAAAACGGAGGTAGTATTTGTACTAATTTTTATAAGATGAATGGTGATACTTCCTCCATACTCATAAAGAAAGTTATTTTGGACAGCGACACGGTCTCCAAAATATAATTTTGACTTCTTGTTTCTATAAAAAAATATATTTATTGAAAAGTGATATATGTATTGAAAAGTTTATATATTTTTTTTATACTAGAGGGAGTACGATAAAAAAAAAGCGATAACTAATTTATGAGGAGGTAGTTCAATCCAACTTTTTGAAGAATTTAATCCGAGAGAGTCAGCGGCAGCCTGCAGCAGCTAGAGCAGAGCGATGGCCGCGCTTCTGGGCATCCTCCTCGTGGCCTTCCTCGCCGCCGCCGTCCCTTTCGCGCTCCGCCTGCTCCACTCCTTCCTGTGGGTCCCGCGCCGCCTGGAGCGCCGGTTCCGCCGGCAGGGCATCCGGGGCCCGCCGCGCCGCCCGCTCTCCGGCAACGCCGCCGGCTACCGCGACCTGCTCGCCGCCGCCCAGTCCGCGCCGCTCGCGTCCTTCCATCACGCCGTCGTGGCCCGCGTCGCGCCGCACTACCGCGAGTGGCCCGAGCGGTACGGCCGCCCGTTCGTGTTCTGGCTCGGGCCCCGCCCGCGGCTGGTGGTCTCCGACCCGGAGGTCGTGAAGGCCGTGCTGACCGACCCCACGGGGACCTTCGATAAGGCTGGCTCCGGCGGCGGCAACCCGCTCGCCCGGCAGCTTTTTGGCGAGGGTTTGGTGGGGCTCACCGGGGAGAAGTGGGCGCGCCACCGTCGCGTGATCGCGCCGGCGTTCAACATGGAGAGGATCAAGGTAAAGAGGCGTTTTCTTGAAAATGACCTTAGAAACATGAAAATGGATGATTATCGTGCTTGTAGATCATGTTGGGTACTTCCCGCTCTCAAAACAAACGACTTGAAATTATTGTAACTCTAAAACATATGTATGTAAGCCTTGCTAAAATGTTCATTATTTCAGTTCTTAGATGTAAGTTGTGTCACATGTGAAATCAGGGAGTCAGGGACTCCTAGGCTTTGTGTCTGTTACTTCTTTTCTACTGACGTTGATTTAAAATTTTATTTACACATCTACAATGGAATGGGATTCAGACTTTCTTATATAACAATACGATGTGTATTGGTTGATTTTTGAAAAATTAACCTTTTTATGCATCTTTTGTAAGACATAAATTGTAAGACTCTCGGAGTAAGTTCATCACCTTCCTGTAGACTATATTCATGGTGAATTAACCTTTCTTTCTGTTAGTAATAATATATATATGATGATGTGATCAAAAGTTGTGCTCTGGATATTTCTACTAATCAAATGAATTGCCAATAAGACCAAAGTTTTGTTCCTTTCAGGGTTGGATTTCAGAAATAACAGCTATCACCTCATCCATGCTGGATAAATGGGAAGTTCAAGATGAAGCACGCGCTGAGTTTGAGATCGATGTACATAAAGAATTTCACACTTTGATTGCAGATGTCATTTCCAGTGTGGCATTTGGAAGTAGCTATGAGGAAGGAAAGCGCGTTTTCGAATTGCAGGAGGAACAGCTAAAACTTGCAATTCTTGCAATGACGACAGTCTATATTCCTGGCTTCAGGTGAGGTTGCCTCTGCCTCTTAGCTTGCTTGGAACCCATAATTTTCAAATGCCACAGTTAAGGGAGAAAATTGTGACGTCTTTCTCTCATAGGTTTGTGCCAACAAAGAAGAACCGACGACGGCATATGCTAAACCAGGAAGTCAGGAATTCCTTGCGCAAATTGATTGAGATCAATGGAAGGAAGTGTGAGGATTCGAACAATCTGCTTGGGATGATGTTATCGGCCAGTAAACTTGGTAGTGAATTCAGAATGGGAATTGAAGAAATAATTGATGAGTGCAAGACATTTTACTTTACCGGGAAAGAAACAACAGCTAACTTATTGACATGGGCAACTCTTCTCCTAGCTTTACATCAAGAGTGGCAAAACAAAGCTCGCGATGAAGTCCTTCAAGCTTGTGGCAAGTCTGAGCACCCAAACGCGGAAAACCTGAGTAATCTCAAAATTGTGAGTCCAAGTTTTGTATACTTTGGTTTTCATCTCTTTTATAATTTTATTGAATACAGGCATACAGCAAGTGACACTTTTTTAATGTTTGAATGCAATCAGGTAAATATGGTGCTAAAAGAAACCCTCAGGTTGTATCCTCCTGCTATGTTTCTCAATAGGATGGTCAACAGGGATGTCAAGCTGGGCAAACTCGACATTCCAGCTGGCACGCAGCTCCATTTTCCCATTCTTGACATTCACCATGATGTTAACATATGGGGCACCAATGCAGATGAGTTTGATCCATCAAGGTTTGCAGAGGGCAAGAGCTATCACCTTGGTGCATACTTTCCCTTTGGGATTGGCCCTACTATCTGTGTCGGCCAGAATCTTACGATGGTTGAAGAAAAGGTGGCCCTTGCAATGATCCTTCAGCGTTTCGCGCTTGTTGTCTCGCGTCCTATGTTCATGCGCCAATGCATGGAGTCACACTCCAACCCCAGTACGGTGCTCAAGTTCTTGCCCATAAGATTTGAGACTTCGATGGATTTGTGTGTGGATTTCTGGGTCTTTGCAGTAAATATGGTGAATGCAGCAGACGTACATCGTGTATTATATATCTTTGTGAACAATTTTGGAAGGATGTTTCCAGCTCGTCTGAACTTTCTATCAAAAGTGGAATTTGCTGGAGCCATGGGAGCATTTTCCATGTACAAACAACTCTTAATACCTGCAGAAATGTACAGAAAATAAAATGGTTTGCGATTGTAAATATTCCAGTTCTCTCCTTTTTATTTTTGGATATCCACTGCATTTGTTGACATATTTAGTTTACCCGTTTGATAAGGCACCCATTTTTGCTGGTGAAATCTATATATCTTAAAACCATTTGTGCATGAGCTCCATCTCATCCTAGCTTAAAGGATACAGCACCTCTGGTTTACGCGATGGCAAAAAAGAAGAGTGCAAACCTGCAGCAAGCATCGCATTCCGACCAATGATTGGCGGACCTTGACTTGCCTGCTGTCTCAGGGTGGACGACGGATCTAATTAGCCAACTCGTCGACGTCTGGGGTGTTGTTCATAGCTTACAATTAATGGAGAACAAAGAAGACAAGATCACATGGAAGCTAACCAGCCACGACGAATACACGGCGAGATCGGCTTACAAAGCGCAACTTCTTGGCACAACAACGTCCAATTTCAATGCCATCATCTGGAAGTCCTGGGGGCCGCGCAAATGTAAAACTTTTGCTTGGCTCGTCATCCAAAATAGAATTTAGACCTCCGACAGATTAGCGATCCGTGGGTGGCCGAATAACTCCATTTGCCTCCTATGTCGAAGGAATCCAGAAACAACCCTCCACCTCCTGGCGGGATGCAGATATGTGAGAAGAGTTTGGGCGGCACTTGCGGACTGGACGCTATGTGAACAGATAAAATCAACACAGTGGCATCAAGCCTCAACACTCTTCGAGTGGTGGGAGGTCACCGCATGCTCAAATGAAGCACCAAAGAACCCCCTATGCCGAAGGAATCCGGAAACAACCCTTCACCTCCTGGCGGGATGCAGATATGTGAGAATAGTTTGGGCGGCACTTGCGGACTGGACGGCATGTGAATAGATAAAACCAACACAATGGCATCAAGCCTCAACACTCTCCGAGTGGTGGGAGGTCACCACATGCTCAAATGAAGCGCCAAAGAAGACCTTGCATTCGCTAATGCTGCTAGTTGCCTAGGAGATTTGGAATGAAAGGAACCGCAAAGTCTTCCCGCATCAGGAGCTCCCGGCGAACAGTCTAGTAGCCAAAATTAAGGAGAAGACCAGAACATGGGTCTTGGCAGATGGCTTGCATTCTAGGCCGTGTTTAGTTGCAAAGTTTGAACCCCAAAAAGTCACATCGAACTTTTCTACACACATAAACTTCCAACTTTTACGTCACATCGTTCCAATTTTCTTCAAACTTTCAATTTTGGCGTGGAACTAAACACACCCCTAGCTTTTTCGGGCCAAAGGCCTTGAATCTGTATTTTTTTTCTTTTGCGCTTGCGCATGTACAGTTTTACTTCTTCTCTATTTAATGAAATTGGCAGCTCGCCGGTTCGTTCAAAAAAAATTCTCATCCTAGCTTCCAACACAAATCAAACCAAAGGATCTTAAGACTTAACCGAGCTTTTAAAAGGGAAGGGAGGATATTACATTCATTCAAGCATCTAATTAATTAGCACGAACCAGCAGCACACGAGCACATCTAAAGAATTTTCCTTTGAAGTCAAGATTCGATTAACAACATCTAGATCACATCAAATCTTCCCGACAATGCCATTCTCTCCCTCTCCGACGACCGGCTCCAGATCACGGGCACGCGCCCTCGCTTCGCGCCAAGCTTTGCCCTTACAAAAACGGCAGGGAAGGCAGGCGGATCGAAGCAGAGGTATGTACGTGCGCGGGCCATGGCCTTGACGGCGCCATTGGAGAGGGAGGGAGAGCTAGAGGACGAGATGAATCGATGGAAGAGTCGTAGAGAGACAGCCGCACATGCTAATCCCCTTCTTGCTGAATGCGTCGCGCGATCGCTTCTTGCTCGAATGGTGTTCTTTTGGCTCCTCGTCGTCGATCAGTGGAGGCCCAGCAGGCGCCGGAGCTCCCGCGTCGCCGAGTCGTCCACCCCTGCCGCCGCCGCAGCGGCAGCCCTAGAGGACGACGAGGAGGAGGAGAACCGCGGCAACGGAAGCGCCCGCGGCGACGGCGACATGGACCCGAACGCCGGCCCCGCGTACGCGTCCGCGCCCGCGCCCGCCGCCGCCACCTTGACCCGGACCACCCGCGTCACGGCTGGCGCCGCCTGCCCGCCCCGCGGCCGCGCGTCGCGCCGCCGGGCCGCCTGCTGGCGCGGAGACCGCCTGGTGGCGTGGGGACGGGCGCGGACGCGGTCGAGGCAGTCGTGCAGGCGGAGCACCTCCGTCCCCATGGCGCGCGCGACGCGATCGCGAGCTCGCTTGGGTTTGGGTTGGGTCGTAGCCTACGAAGCGGTTAAACGGTGGTGGAGGAGGAGGGTGGGGTTGGGTGAAGCGTGGTGGCTTCCACCCTCTCTCCCGGCGGCGTCCCCGCGCGCTGATCGGTCGCTTCCTCTACGATCGCCTGGTTTCCACGGCGTGCAACGGTGGCCCCCGCTTTTAAGTCACCCCCCGCTTTCTTCCCGCACAAGGCGGCCGCCCTACCCCCGAACGGACGAAGGCGCGGGCGTCGTGGAGGCAGCCATGGGAAGAAAATAAACGCGGTTGCGTCGGACGCGGGGAGATCATGCCCGGCTGCCCGCGTCTCGTCGCAGGTCGCAACTCCCGTGCGCGTGCGGGCCGCGAGCGCGAGGTCCAGACTGTTCGGCGCGAACCGGGCCGTGTTTCACTGTTTCCCAATGTCTGTGAAGTTCAATTTAAGTCTCTAAATTTCATATCTAGTTTAAATTGTGTCGTTGAGAATCGAAATACTACTAGATATACCTCGTCCGTAAACTTGCAAAACCGGTGTACTCGACGCCCTAAGCTGTATAGTGCTCGGTTCTAGTCAACGTGGCGAGTTGACTACGGTCAACCATGCTAAGCTAGCATGGGATCCACATGGGGGCATGTTAGTAGCCAGCTCTTCTTCCTCCTCTTTCCCCCCTTCCTTCTAGGCTGGGAGGCTGGCGGTGGCCGAGAGGAGAATGGCAGCGGTCGCGACGCCCTGGAAGGATGGCGGACGACAGGGAGAGGGGCGGTGGCTGCGGCGGACTAGAAAGGCTCAAGCTTGAACTGGAGCCATGCCTACCCTCGCGGAGCTCATCGGCAAGCCGCATCATCTTTCTCTCCTTGTCGAGCTCCTCCTACGCAATCTTAGCCTCCCGTATCATCTTCACCGCCTCGCCACCCCTGCCATCCATGCCGCCGGTGGCAACGAGGCCGCTCCTCACAAGCTCGTCGGACAGTTGCTGCGACCCTACTAGTCCGCCATGACCGTTGCCCCTCTCCTCGTGGGGTTAGGTCACTTAGGAGTATGTCTCTCTCCCTGTCCGGCTTGCAGCATACACGTATCCGCGCTTTGCTCGCCTGCGTGCACTCGCCAAGCGATGACTCGCCCTCCCTCGTTGAGGCCACGGGTGCTAAAGCATATGGTGACGCCTTCTTCGCACACCTATGTCACCACCATTTTCGTCTCCACCTCACCACTAAGCACATCCACCTCTGTTGGTTGCATCGACGTCGCTTCCCTAGCTCCCGTCTCTAGTCCGGATCCTATTCCTCCTTGGAGACCGAAGCTACCGCAACCATTGCTCGGTGGTTAGCGAGCGTGGAGCTGTCCTCCCCACTTTCGCGTCCTCGTTCGCCACCACAGCCATACTTCGCATGGTGATGTCTTCTCCTTCACTCACCGCTAAACTCAGTGCAACCGTTTCTACCCTAGCCCCGGCCGCCGCTCTCATAGAGGTGAAAGTTCATTTACATGTAGGTCCCACATGTTTTATGTTTTTTATTTTTCTTTTACTGATTAGCATGCCACGTAAATCAAAACAACAATCCATAGTGTTTTAAGTATTTTTATTTAATACGTGAGATGGAGTACAAAAACGAGAGATGCAAAGTGAACTTGCTAAAACACATTTTCTGGTTGATTACAGTCGCTTGTTGAGCCATTGGATCGGTCATAGGATTCGTGCTAGCATACTTAATTACGCGTAACTAGTTGTGCTTTATAGGTTACAGGTCGCTAATTAGCGGTCTACTGGAGAACTTTGCTACTATTTTTTTCTTCACTGCATGCACTCGATCAAGTATGAGTATTTGTACCGACCAGCGAAACACATATGTAATTAAAGTATAAATATGTAATTAGTATATATTAGTAGTATATTTAGACAGTAGTTACACCCTACATACACACCACTTACATATATAATTAGTATGTAATTTTGTAACTTACATATGTAATTTTAGTACTTACATATGTAATTTTGAGACTTACATTGTAAATACACTAAAATTACATATGTAATTTAGTAACCTACAATGTAAATACATGCCGACTAACTTTTGATGAAAAATATGGTGTTATAAATATAGCTACTCCCGAACTTTATTCCTTCTCTGTGAGATATCAGTGGAAACGCTCGGTGGAATCGGGGGAGTATTTGGGAGCACGCGCCGACGCGCGCGTCGTGCGTGCCGTCGTCTTTGTCGCGGTGGAGCGGAGCGCGCCCACTTGCGCGCCTGGGCCGGAGGCGGGCGCGCCGGGGGTTCGGGAATCCCCTGGAGCCACACGTAAAGGCGCGGGCGGGAGGGAGGGAGGGGCCAGCTAGGATAAGGCACGCGCGGCCGCTGCGATTGGGGCGCTTGTGAACACCGGGGCGCCACGTGGAGAGGACGTTACACTCCAGCCGCCAAATTTCCACTCCCACACCCGCGCTCCCCTCCCCTCTCTTTTCCGTGATCGCACCTCGCCCACGCGCCCCCCGCCACACACAATCTCTGCAGCTCTCCAGCTTCGTTGGAACTCGCGAATCTCTCTCCGATCCCAGGTAAAGCAGCGAACGACGTCACGCACGACGCTGCTCGGTGGATTTCGTTCCTTGCTGGGGAAAACCATGCAGAGACGAAGGTGAATGATCTGCTTTTGTGTACTTGCGTTTACCAGGTGAAGCGCGAGCTTGGAGTTGGAGGGGAGATCGATCAGGGCCAGGATGCCGTCGGTTTCGAGGGCCGTGTGCGTGCAGAGGGCGAGCGGGAATAACGGCAGGAGGTGCAGAGATGGGGCGGCCGCCGCCGGCCGCCGATCCGTCGTGGCGCAGAGAGCGCGGCACGGCAAGCCGGAGGTCGCCATCCGCTCGGGGTCCGGCGGCTCGGCGCGGGGCGGGCATTGCTCGCCTCTCAGGGCAGTGGCGGCGCCGATCCCGACTACCAAAAAGGTAAACCGTGCATGCCGCAGCTCCTCGTTCGTTCGTTGGCTCGCGCGCGCGATTGCTGTGTTTGACACACCGTTGACTCTCGATCGTGCGAGCATCTATCACTCACTGGTTCGACTCGCATGCGTATTGACGTATAGGAGCTCGGAACACACCATCGTATAGCTCACGAGGTAGCACTGTAGCGGGGATATGCGTGGTTGGCCAGCCCATTGAGCCACATAAGGCCCATTTTTTTCTACACACTTGAATTCAATCCGGCCCTATGGTTGGCACTGTCTCTCATTTATTTATTTACTCCTTTATTTAGAGGATGCGCAGATGCATGCGTTCAACATCTTTTAGGGACGGAGTACATATTTAGATTCACACGTGTGATATTGGAAGTGCGGGCTTGTGTGACGCTGTATCCTTGCACTATAAAAAAACATCTCTGCTACTAGTAGGTCATAACCGGCATCATTGTTGGTTTTTAAACTGGCAGTGTGCTACCGACAATGATACGATTGGTTTAGGGTGTGAACCAATAGTGATATATGGAGCATAACTGTTAATTCTACTTACAAACAAACATACAGTGATTTTGAACGCTCCAAAAATATATATGCAATGCCAATAGATTTGTTGATTTGCATTCACCGATCCAACAAACAACTTCATTTCATTCATCAATCTAACAATCAAAAGTTTGTAACAAATTCACTTCATTTCACCAATCCAACAATGTGGTTTCATTGATTGATCAACAATAGAATAAAGTGTAACTTTGGTGTGATGAACAACAGCTAGCAGAACAATTTCTTTCCAGAAAATTTTTATTGCATCATGCAGCTTCTAAAAATAGATAAAAGATTGCTCATGCATCTCTTCTCCTCATCACCTTCAAAGATGTAGAAGGTAGCAGAGGAGCACATCGGTTGATAATAATGTAGATGGCACTGTTAGTTGATGTTGTTGAGCTTGTGTCCCTGTTGGCAAATCAAGTAAGCACAACCCCCCTCCCCCCCACCCTCCATAGGATTTGGTCCAAGCTTGGGATGACCAGATATAATTCCACATAGCCTCATCTCTATCGCATGTTGTTGTTAAACATACCATGCGACGTCCGCCTCCATTGCTTTGTAGGTATTTGCCGCGTTGGACAGGGACCGATGTCATCGAGATCCACTCTTAATCCTGAGAGTATGAAGGCATGGAAGGGGGCCTCCACCACCACCTGCCTAACGAGATTGAGGTGGTGGCCTATGGGCTAGATCCCCCTCCCCCCTTCCAAGCAGCAAGCTCGTGGCATGCTATCCGATCAAAGGGGAGCAAGGCGGTGGCCCCTTGTTCGGAGAGTAAGGAAGTGACGGCACATCAGTTGGAGGGTAGAGAGACGGCACACTGTGCATGAGGAGAGAGGGAGGGAAAATACCAACAGTGGTACTATCATTATCAATTTATATCCTAAATTATTTGTAAAAAGAGTACAACTACATGTTCTAAATGAGATAAACCTGCAGATATTGGAAATGATGCATTTAGGTCCACATGATGTGATGATAGTTGTTCTTTGTTCAGTTTGGTTAGCATACAGATAGATATCGACAATATTTTTTTAAAGATAATGAAAGCTACAGCCAATTATACATACAGAAGTTGCTAGTCAAATCACCGCAAATTACAAGATCACAGCTTGACAAAAACAAGAAAGCAACTTAGAATATCAACCTAAGGACATACACATAAAACACCTATTGCTAAAATTCATTTATGATTAACAAGAATCTGTATAACCAAGGGTAGAGATGGGAGAAGACTGCTAGGGCTGCAACCCTACTCTTAAGTCTAAATATCCATTAGAATTGCACTATAAAATTAAAAAAAAAATGGGACAAAGTTATGTAAATTATATTAGCTGAGCCCTAAGCTTAGAAGAATTCTGGTTCTACCATAGCATAACCATTTGTTTTGGCTACCAATGACTGTTTATAAAGATTATCATCGATTAGGGAAAAAGGAAACAAAAGTATGCAAATAAATGATAATAAATCAACTCTCTAGTTGAGTAGCTAGGCTCATAGGTGCAAACTGCTGAAAGCTTAATCATTCCATCATTTGGAATCTTGGGGGTAAGACAAACTGTAATGACTCTATCTATATAGAGCTAGTGACTCCCAATCAATTTGGTAGGCTTTCTAGTTACCTTAGATATTTCTACTTTTTATCATGCACTTCACAGAGGCATCTCAGATTCTGGATTGCCAAGCCCATGGTTTCACCAAAACCAGAAAAACAGATACAGTTATATGCAAA